CACGTTGCTATGGGGTTGATACCACTGTAGGTCATGTGATTTAGTGGGCGCAATTGGTCAATTAGGAGACAATCCCAACTGTACAGTGTACAGTAGTGTGGACGTACATGTATGCTTTAATTGGGTGTGACTATTTCATTGGAGAATTCGAAATAGCCCTCAAGTCTCAAAATTCCATCACTTTTTGTACAAGATCAATCTTGAAAGTTGTCTTAAGTAATGAGACCTCATTATATCGAAGTTCTTTTAAAAGCTGATTTTGTGCCCAAGAGTCACCCTCCCTACATGCATTTGACAGAGACAGTTCAAGATACCGGTTTAGTCCATATGTACATTTACCCGGCACATGTTTCATTTGTGCATTACATGTACATGTATGTTCATTTGAAGCAACAAAATGACTCCAAATCTCTAGAAGGGTGCCTGAGATCAAACTGAAGAAGTCAATCCTGTACATTTTAGGATTTTCATTTCAGATCAAAATTTGCTGAGTCATATTTTGAATTGTGCCTGATTTGAGCATCTAGGACGTGCTGACATTCAATTAAATGAAGCTACTGTACATTGCACCTGATGCCATGTACAGTACTAAACTGGCAAATTACATTAACTGCTCATGTGTGTGTGTGTTGTGTCAATGCTTACATGCTTCTAATGGCAGTTTTTAGAATTTAGACACATTGTTCAAAATGGCCTTCTTTCATAGTTTTCTTCAAAATGACAGCTTGCCAGAAAAAACAATTTCACAGGGAGCTTAGTCCCCTAACCATCTTTAGACCAGGTGCACGTACCTGTACATACATGAATATGCTTTTCACTATTTCCACCATTTACCTTTGCAGTAAGTGAAGAAAAAGAATGGTTAAACCCAGAAGAAAGTGTTTCTTAATTAAATTAGTGATGTCACAATATCTCAATGGTGCACATCCAACACAAATTATCACATACAGCTTACTTCTGGAACATATTTGTAATAATAAGCACAACTTATGTACTAATAAGATGCCATGAAATTGGGCCCTGTTTTCTAGCATCATATCCAAATTAATACATGTACATTTAGCATGTTTCAAGAATCAAGATGCAAAGTTATTGATCGTTATGAGTAGTCTTACAACATCATGTGTTATACAGTGCACATGTACATGTACAGTACCTGCAATGGCTGAAATATCTCAATGGTACATGTACATGTAGGTCATTGACCTGGTGTTAATGAATTATTTTGTCCCAACATATGATGTACCAGCTCCACCGCAAAACTAAAATTTCCACTTTGTTGCTGCAGTTTCGATGGCATGAAAAACGTGACCAACACTTCTTTTTACACACAAGAAAAACACACAAGTCATTCTGATTTATTCAGCTGTTTTATAAATCCAAATAATAAATTCATACTGAGAAAAGTTGCACTCAGTGATGAATGGAAAGCTCAGTTTCACACCATGAAAATGGAAAATTCTTCTGTCACCTCAGGAAGCTCACAGTTCACTTGTCATTTCTCCGTAGACTAATGATCTCATTTTTTTGTTTACAGTATCTGCACAACTATGTATGCAAGCCATTGCAACAAGGACTCTAAAGCAATTATGGTTGTCATGGTGAGTGTTTCAACTAAGAAGATTAAATTCATAAAAGGATTTTATATTAAACCAATATCTTAAGCGAAATGAAGCTATTTTTAAGTGTACAGTATACATACAGTATATTGTACAACCAGCAAATATTGGGACAAATACATACATGTACGGATGTAACGTAGCATGTTCGTGTGGAAGACCTATACAATGGCGTAAGTAAATACATAGTGATATGCACAGTACTCACATATTGGTGCTGCTGCTGTGGAGACTACATGTACATGTATACACACCTGTATCAAAGGATAGTTAATGTGAGAACAACATTTCCCCACAACTCAGTCCCTCAGAGCAGCGTTTTAGCTAGTGAGCCATGCAGCCGTGTTTTGCACAGCCAGTTTTGTGAAATCACAGCCCATTTTTTGAAGCACAGCCTGGCTGTGCAAATCAAGCTGTGCACTACTTAATTTAAAGCTTGTCTAATCTAGATACCGAGCATACAGTGCTTATTAATATACGTTGGGTAAGGGCAAACCTGTTATATATAATTAACATCTCCCCAACACAAAAATACATCTTGAAAATAGTTCGCAGTA